GAAGACAACACAAAAGGACTGTGCTACTATCAATTCTAGTTTATACCAATTATAGTTATGGGCTTAGACACCTAATCCAACAATAAGAATGTCTACGGTTTTGGTCAACTGGACCATAAGATGGCTTGGTCATTACCAAATGGTCCAAGGGCTTTAACCCTACAATTCACTTGAGCCCCTTAACTTTTCTATTTTCAACAAACAAACCCAAGGCCAAGTATCTTAACATATTAAGTTTCTAATTTAACATTTTTAGTCTCTCACTAGATTTGAACTCTGTTTATGTTAAATAATTATTTCTTATTATTTTTTATTAATATTTTTTAATATTACCTAAGAGTGATTGTCCAACAACCCTTACCCTCCACCACACCACAAGCAGCCAGGAAGACCAAAAAAGAAAAGGAGGCAGACTGCTGATGAGAAGAGTGTAAGCCAAAGTCAGAAAGAGAACCTACAACAAGGTCAATGTGAAAGTCAGAAGCTAACTAGGAAATTTGTGAGTGTGACATGTAGTAAGTGTAAGAACAAGGGCCATAATGCTAGGACATGCAAGGGGCAGGGGGGAAATGGAGGTACCAGACAAGCAAATGAAGCTTGAAGTGTTGCAGGGGTAGGCTACTAGATTTTGTATTTTATTTGTGGTTGTAATAGTTGGTAATGTTTTAAAACCCTAGTTATTAAGTAATATTTATGCCCTTTTGAACTTGGTTATGTAATAGTTATGCACTTTTAAACTTGGTTATGCAATAGTTATGTACTTTTGGTAATGTTTAATGGTAATGTTAGGTTTTTGTTTTGTTAAAGAAGCTTTTGGTAATTTACTTTCTGGTATTCTGTTATGGTTAACATCATAGTTAATATTTAACATTTTCACCATTACACCATACACCATTATCATAACCATTTCGACTGAGACAATTTATAACAAAATCAACTGAGATAATTTATAACAAAAACTAACACTTTCATTAAACCAAGTTACCATTGACAACATCATTAACTTAAACCACAACATTACTACATTCTTAGATTAATCCTTCCAGATCAGCTTACAAAAACCAACACCAAAACACAACATTACAACAATCTTCCAAAAACTACACCCTAACATGTAAGCCCTAATTCCTAAAGTAGATAACCAAAAGAAGCAGAACCCAGCTTATAACCAAATACATCTTGAGTTTTGTTGATTCACGTTGCATATTCCCTAAATCCAGCTCATGCTTGTTGATTGTTCTCAACAATCCTGGTATTATAGCTGTCGATCTTGGACACATGGGGGGGGGGGGGGGTCAACCCACCCGATAAATCCACATTTTGAATCCTACAATTATACAGAAAAGTGGATGGATTATTAAATCAAAATAATTGACCTAATTTGCACCTTGTTACCTATTTAGGGCATGAAAAGAAACGGCGACCAGGGTTTAAATCTGTCTAGGAGGTTCGCACAACAACATCTCTTCCATAAAAACACAGTTGTTGCACTAATGTGAGTGAACAAAGAAATCGATCAAACGAGAAAGAGTAAGAGAGAAACAGATGTTGTCTGAATGAAGATGAAAGAGAAGAGAGACGTTGTGGGTTGGGTCTTAAAGGAGTTTTCAAACCACAGTGACCAATAGATGAAAAGACAAAATTACCCTCACATGGAGGGCACGTGCTACACTAAACGGAAACAAATAGACGGGAGTTAAGTCCAGGGACCAAAACCACAAGAAGTTTCATGTTTTGGACCAACCATGCAACTTGAAAACATTTTGGACCTTATCCACAATTTTTGGATAACCATAGGGACCAAAAATGCAGTTTACTCTTTAATTACAATTAAATAAATTTCAAAAGAATACCCTTAAACATGTAGCTTTTTTCCTTTCAGTTTTTAGCATATGTATATTATCTTATATTATACGTATTTATGCATAAATAATGTATGTATACACAATTTTTTTTTTAATTAACCATTGTGTTTTCGTTCTTTTTAAATGTTATTTCTATATATATATATATATATATATATATATATATATATATATATATATATATATATATATATATATATATATATAGAGGTAGCTTCAAGTATTATAACTAATGTGTGGATGTAAGAATGATTCTAGTCCAATGATTTCAAAAATCTATATAAAGTTAATTTTGTAATCTTAGCTATTAATTATTTATGGTAATTGTTAAATGAATTAAAATCTCATCATATCTCTATAAAATTGCAATCGGTTTTTAAGTGAGTACCCCTCCAAAAAAAAGTTTGTGACCGCTTCTTCCGGCAACACGTGTCGGCCATCTCTCTACCGGGCTTTACGCATACATTATTCCATTGTCCTTCACGCCGTCTATTATCACCGATGCCGACTCGAGTGATTTTCTCAATTATCTTTTGTTTTTAGTTTAGTGTGATTTTTAATGGCTAGTTACCATGATTTTTTTCTCTCTAACCCTGTTTATCTCTTCCCCCTCTCTTTCTCTAATCGTCAGCCATCCACAACATCGCCTCCCCCATTTGACGAGCACGTTAGAAGTTGGGTATGATATTTGGAGATATAGATGGATTGCTTCGTGAAACAATTAATGTTGCAGTAAATCCAAGGTTTGAAATTTACCTATTTCGTATTTTTTCGTTTATCCTACTTTTCAAAAAGTTAATACAATGTGTTCAATTTATTATTGAAGTTTTTTGTAAATAGTAAAAATTAAAAAATATCACCAATCGAAACCATGTTTACTCTTTTTTTAACATAATGCAAACGTTGTGATAATTAATATCATAATCAATACTGGTAATTTAATATTACATGTTCTTTTTTTTTTTTTTTTTTTTTTTTTTTTTTTTTTTGGAAAACCGATTCAAAGACATAGCTAGAACGTTGGTTAGTGTTATACAAAGTGAATTTATTAATTTTGAATAAGCATTATAGGTTTAGATAATAGTTAAGGAGTCTTTTGTGTCATTTTTTAATTGTAAGCCTAACTAAATAAAAGTTGTGAGTCTAATGTATTTTGAGTCGGCAAGTACAAAAAAAATTTTCAAATCTTCTACCTGCGTATTGTAAAAAGAATGGATGCATAATTTGTAGTTTTCTTTTTTTCATACGGACTAACAAAATAGTATTTGTTCATTTATGTCTCCCATAATATTATTCTTAATAACATTCTAACAGAATAAATACATATTTAAATATGTATTTATTCTGTTAGAATGTTATTAAGAATAATATTTATTAAAAATAATATTATATGTAGTCTTAATTTACTTTTAGAAGTATAAATATATATTTTTATGTATTTAAAAGTGTTTTATGTAAAAAAAATTAAAACAAATCCGAACGAAATCAATTAAAGCGACCAAATAACACTTTTATAAAGTCTTGACTTTTTATTTTGCTCTCGATCTACAATTGGTTTGGACCTGTCCTAATTCCGATGGCCGGAAATCACATGGCAACGGCAAATCGTGAAGAAGCGTTGTTAAGATTGTAATAAGTTTTGTACTTAGACGTATAAGAATACCACTTAATTAGATATATAGATTAAATCAGTTTCGTTATTTTGATATCTATTTCAAAGTTAAAACACATTTATTTTAGGTATTTACTTTTTATAATTAAAAGTCCAAACTTCTATTTTGTTTAAACCAAATTTAAAATAGTTTGGTTTCCAGTTTCAATAAGTTTTTATTATTATTTAAATTGGTTTATTTCCATGTAACAGATTACGATGTGTATTTGGTATTTCCAAATTTGTATTTTGTTTGAACTTTGAACAAAATCAAGTTTAATGCATGATGAACGAGATACTATATTATTTATTAGTTTATAACCCGTGAAAACCACAAATATAAAATTAATTAAACTTTTATAATAAAAATTTATAATTATTAATCAATTATTTTAAATAAGTCATTTTAAATAAATTATTAATTAAGAGATATATTAAATTTTTAAAGTTATTATAACTTCAAATTTTACATATAATTAGAAAATATAAATTTGAATTTTGAAATGAGTTGCCTAATATATATCTACATGACACGTGACATAATATTAATGAAAAGTTGTATTACAGTTACACTTGGCAAAATAAGATTAAAACTATTTATTTATTAGAATATTTTGATATATTTTGGTAATGGTTGAGTAATTGGCTCCAAGTTTGGAGCATCTTTGTCTATCCCATCTCCATACCTTGCTCAATATTCTTTGGTATCTTTACAATCTCTACCTATCTAGTATTCCAATTGTAGTCACAATCATTTACCAGATTATTGACAATTTGGTCAAATATATATTTTAATTTATTGGTTTTTAAAATACCCCATGTGTATCATGTAACTTCATATTATCATTGGCTTCGTGTCTGGATAATACTATTCTTTTACTACTTAAATAGGTGTCATCAATAAATTTATTAAAAACCTAAGGACATCTTAGCTAGACATTTCTATATTATATAATAAAAGTTGTATATTACTTTGGTATTTATATTTTTCTTGTGTAAAAGAAAACAGCCTACCATTCCACACATGTCACAAAAAAGAACGATGATTCTAAAGTTAGATATTCCAATATGAATAGCTGTTGTACCATTAATCTTGGAGTTAACTGTAGTTATTAAGTTGTCCTCCTATATTCAAAATCTTCACCTAAACATCACATGGGCTAACACGAAAAATAACAAAATTAAAGAAAGAGACAAATAGGACCCCCTCCACTAAACTTTAGGCTCAATTAATGAATTATCTTTATAAAAAATCGGGTAACATGTTTCTTATTTTGTTCCTAATGAAAAATTATAATAAAAATGACTAAACGATAATTGAATTTTGGACCAACCAAAATATTTTTATAGTCGCCATATTATTAAAATTGGTTTAATAATTTATAATTCGCTGATAAAAGCATAGATGCATTCGACTCTCTTCATCAACCTCCACAACACTTGTTTCTTCCTTCTTCACTACATACCCAATCCATTCCATAATCATGTCCCGGATTAAAGATTTCTTCACCGGAGTCTTGGACTCCGGCAAGCACATTAGCTTATCCAACAAAAGAAAAAAGCTCTTCTTAGCTGCTTTTGCTTCAATCCTACTAGCCTCCGCAATAATCGGCATTGTCGTCGGAGTCAAATCACGAAAATCCAGCTCCGGCGACTCCAGCCCAGAAAGCCTCACAGCTTCCTCAGCTCACTCCATCGTAAAATCAGCATGCAGCAGCACATTTTACCCTGAACTATGCTATTCCACAGTCACAAGCCACCCCGATGTCACCACAAAGGTCAAAAATATTAAGAACGTGATCGAACTTGCTATTAATATCACAGTAACCGCCGTCGAGGAGAGTTACTTCCGTATAAAGAAGCTCAGCACTCGGAAAACTCTCACTGAACGTGAGGTCACGGCGCTTCACGACTGTCTTGAGATGGTATCGGAGACGTTGGAAGAGCTCCATGATGTCGTTAAAGACCTCAAGGAGTATAAATTGAAAGGATCGATCAAGCAGCATGCCATCGACCTCAAGACGTTGATGAGCTCCGCCATTACAAACCAGGAAACTTGTCTCGACGGTTTCTCCCACGATGGCGCGGACAAGAAAGTCCGTAAGGAACTGGAGAAAGGGGAGAAAAGGGTGGAGAAGATGTGCAGCAATGCATTAGCGATGATTTGTAACATGACGAATAAGGATGTGGCCGATGAGATGAAGATGAACGTCGGAAGGAAATTGAAGGAGGAACAGAATGGTGAATGGCCGGAGTGGTTGTCTGCTGGAGATAGGAGGTTGTTGCAGACAGGGACAGTGACGCCAAACGTGGTGGTTGCTGCCGATGGTAGTGGAAACTACAAGACGGTGGCGGCTGCGGTGGCTGCAGCGCCGTCAAAGAGCAGTGCAAGGTACGTGATCAGGATAAAGGCTGGTGTTTACCGGGAAAAACGTGGAGGTGCCGTCGGCCAAAACTAACATAATGTTTTTGGGAGATGGAAGAAAGAATACAATCATCACCGGTAGCCGGAGCGTTAAAGGAGGAAGCACCACCTTCGACTCGGCAACCGTCGGTAAGTTCCCTCATCGGTCATTTCTCAGCCTAATTATTATTAAATGTTTATAAGTATTATTATTTACATTTTATTTTCTCTAATAATTATCATTAAAAAAATTTCTAATAAGTTCTAAACACTACGATGAGAAGGTAACGTCATATTAAATGTTCTATGTTCTAACTAATGAACCGTAATTATAAATAATCCATAATATAAAATTAAGCTGTTATTTGAAAGATATTAAAAATAAATTCCAAGTTGCTAGGTCAAGGTGAAGGTGATTTGATTGAAATGAAAGTTCCTTTATTTATATATATATATATATATATATATATATAAACTTTCCATGTTTCTAATTTTAACATTATATTTTTATTTTTTTTTAATTTTTCAACAAATTTTTCATTTTTTTAATTTTGTCCCTTTATTTTTTACTTTATCATATTTTTCCCATTAAACATTCACTTTTACTTCTTTAAAACCCTTTTTCTTTATTCTTTTATAAATTTACCATTTTATTTTTAATTTTTTATAATTTTGCCACTAAAGTTTCAACAAACATTTCCTCTTTATAGTTTTGGTACTTTATTTTTTACTAATTTTGCCACTAAAGTTTCCACAAGCTTTTCCTCTTTATAATTTTAACACTTTATTTTTACTTCTTTATATTTTTACCACTAAACTTTCATCCGTACAACGCAGGGGCCTTTTCCTCGTTCGTATAAATCTTAACCAAAACAAAGGGCACAACTGCTTATTGTAGTATTGGTTGTTTTTGTATTTTTATGTTATGTCTTTTTGCACTTTATCTTCGCCTACGTGTGGCCATACCCGTCACAAAGGTAGTACGTGATGGCTAATCTTCCATTCCAAATATCATACTCTTTCCATTTTATTTTTCAGCGATTATTCTGTCATACAAAATGGACTTTAAGAATTAACATAAAAATAAACAAATGTTTTTGGAAGTTAAAGGAAAATAAAAAGTTTTGAGCATTTGTAGAAATAGTGATATTAAATAAACATTTCAACCTAGGTACATGGTCGTGGAACACATATTATATCAATAAAAGTTTATTTAGCACCCCTCTAATATCTATTTTGAAAATAACCATTTTCGATTATATATATATATATATATATATATATATATATATATATATATATATATATATATATATATATATTTGTTGCAGCAAATAACTTTCAAAAGCTCCATAAATTTTTGAAATTCAAAATTTTTAAAATCATTGGTTTTTGAACTAAATGATACATTATATGCCTTTTCGTTTTATTATGTTTATTTAACTTTTTGTTAAATATTAAGATAAAAAAATATTATCTCAAAACTAAAAAAACGTTGTTGAAATTTCAGAGTACGTTTCTTTTTTCTCCCAAAGCTTTAGTCCGAAATTCAAAGTTTGAATTTAAAATGTGTATTTTTTTCCAGAAAATATATTTTTAGTATGACATAAATTATTCAGAAACAAATTTGATTTAATCCACAAAGACTCAATTATTGAAAGAGTGGTTATGTTTAAAAAACTTCAATAGTATAATTTTATAAATGTAAAATATGAAACATGTTGCAAATTTAATATGTTAAGCTGTCAATTCTGAAATATATATAAACGAGATTTCTACCAACTATAAATCTATATCTATATAAATTTACATTTCAAACGGTTAATAAACAATTAATACAATTCGATCATTGCACAAGCACTATGATAAAGATGGAGAAGATTTTTTGAAATATAAAATCACAAAATCTCGAAATTGGAAAAAAGCGACATGAACGTGATAAAAAAAAGGCTACATCTGCTTACCAATCACATGGTTACCATAATTTCCATCAATTAAGCAGCAAATTATTCAATCATGCAACCACTGTATTAATTATATATTAAACCATATCCATCACATAAAAAAAATTACAAAACCAATATTCCATAAATATACTCCTATTCTTTAACACTCTTTGATTAAAATAACACTTTCCCATTTAAAAAACAAATATAATATTAAACAAACTATAGAGTACAGACATCCCTTTAATCGAATCAAAAGTTATTTATTTAATTTCTCTTGTGGTGTTCACGCAGCTGTCGTTGGAAATGGATTCTTGGCAAAAGACATAACATTTCAAAACACCGCCGGAGCTGCAAACCACCAAGCGGTGGCACTTCGTGTCGGCTCAGACTTATCCGCATTCTATCAATGTGACATGTTAGCTTACCAAGACACACTTTACGTCCACAAAAACCGTCAATTCTACATCAACTGCTTGATCGCCGGCACGGTGGATTTCATCTTCGGAAACGCTGCGGTGGTGTTCCAAGACTGCGACATCCATGCACGCCGCCCTGGATCAGGTCAAAAGAACATGCTAACAGCACAAGGCCGCACCGACGCCAACCAAAAACACAGGGATTGTTATTCAAAAATGCAGGATTTGGTGCTACTTCCGATCTGCAACCGGTGATAGGGAGTTTTCCGACGTATCTAGGACGACCATGGAAACAGTATTCAAGGACAGTGGTGATGCAGTCGAGTATTACCAATGTGATTCAACCAGCCGGATGGTATGAGTGGGATGGGAACTTTGCGCTCGACACGTTGACCTACCGTGAGTACCAGAACACTGGTGCCGGAGCTGGAACTTCCGGTAGAGTAAAATGGAAAGGATATAAGGTGATTACAAGTTCTTCAGAGGCTCAAGGGTATACTGCGGGAACCTTCATCGGTGGTGGTAATTGGTTACGCGCCACCGGTTTTCCTTTTTCTTTGGGTTTGTAAGCATGTGAATTTAGTGGAAGTGTTGTGTGTGTATCTATCGAATAACGATGGTGTTTAAGGAACATCTTGTGCGGCAATGTATTACTAAACAGGAGTAATTTTGTCATAAATGTTTTGGTATTGTAATTTAATCCCATATAATGTAAATGGCCGTTTTCAAACTTTCATGAAGAATAATAGACATTTATTTATATTAAATGCTGTTATATGTTTTTTTTTAAACGTTATATGTTTAGTTAGGCCACGATTAGATTTAGCCCATATTCTTGTATAATCTTTTGGTTAGGCCCATGTACTCTATTTGCTGTACTCTCTCATTTATATATATATATATATATATATATATATATATATATATATATATATATATATATATATTTGAACCGCAATATGTATTAAACCTCTAGCAAGAAGCTAGAAAATAAGATAAAAACTTACAAAGTCATGTTTGGGGATAACAGACAACAATCCTAAGAAATAGTATTTTTCCTAAGTCTATGAGAAACCCAAAAGTAAGAAAAATGCCTAATATCATAAAAAATCACATCTCTTCTATGCTTTACCGTTCCAAAAAGTAAATTATAATGAAATCACCAAATGACCCAAAACGAGACAACAATAACTGCTTAAAAAACCGGTAAAAGTTCCTTAATCATCTTTACCGAATTAACCCAATGCATGATCTCATTAACCGTGCCATGTGAAGGAGCAGAGATATTCGACCACCTAGCTATCAAGTTCCATAAAAGGGTGAAAACATTGCAATAAGAGAAAAATGAACAACAGTCTCTCCAATTTGAGAGCAAACAGGACATAAAAGAGACTCTAATTCAACGCCTCTATCACGTAAATTCAATCTAGTGGGAAGCTTATATCTTTCAACCCGTCAAGCATGAACATTAATCTTCTTAGGAACATAATTATTCCATCTAGTAGGAATGTTAGAAGACTTTAAAGTGTATGCATCAATAAAATTTCTCGTCGAAGCAACCGATAATTCTCCCTTGATATCCAAATCCCATGAGTAAGAATCATTCGAATCGGATAAAATCACATCATGTATTATTTCACGCATCTCATCCCATTCAGCACTCGTAGCACCATTACGAGGATATCTAGCAAACGCGTCCAATATCCTCGTTTCTAAGGATCGATCAAACAAAGACGCCTCCAGATTCGTATCAAGAACAAAAAGTCTATGAAATTTGTTCTTAAAAATATTCGATCCATGCCAATTATCCAACCAAAACCGAGTACTTCTTCCATTTCCCACCTTTCTAGTACACAAATCCTCCAAAAACTATCTTTCTTCTTTAGATGATCAATCCCCCTAACAATATTCAGCCACGGGCTCAAGCCTACACTTCGAGTAACCACATGACCTCCTGGAGAATAGTGAAGAGTCGAGACCACTTTAGCCCAAAGAGCATTTGGGTTATGCAAAAAACACAATTGCCACCTGAATAATAAATCCCTATTAAAGGAAAACATTATTTCAATATCAAGACCTCCTTTTTCCTTAGAATTCATCACTTTAGACCATGAAATCCAATGCAACTTTCTTTCTCTCACCCCCACCCCCCCCCCCCCCCCCCCCCCCCAAAAAAAAAAAACTAGCTCTTAAAGATTCTAATAGATTAATGATCTAAAGAGGCACTTCAAAAATGGACATTTGCTAGATTGGAATATTTTAACGTCCAGAAAATCCAAGGTAAAATTTTTATTTTTAAAACAATAATTCATACAACAATTTGTTCTCAAAACCATTCAAGATGAAAATAGTATTTAAGCATCAGAGTAAAAAATCACCAATACAGAATAAACTCTGGGGTTGCTGTGCAGTCACGTCGGGCTCTTTGCTTCCGAACAGGAAGTACCTGAAACCATAAACATAAAATGTACGCACAAAGCTTAGTGAGTTCCCCAAAATACCACATACCATACATATATAACAATTCAAAAAATAACAAGATCTATTTCACCCCCTTCGATGTCTTTCAACCGCAACTGCGTCTATTTCACCCCCTTCGGTCTCTTTCAACCAGTATTGGGTCTATTTCACCCCTTCGGTCTCTTTCAACCGGTACTAGGTCTATTTCACCTCCTTCGGTCTCTTTCAAATGGCATCGGGTCTATTTCACCCATATAGCCAAGCATACAATCATATCAGCAAGAGTCGCAAAGATAAAAAACACATACATGCATAACAGTAAGTGTCACAAAGACAACTATCATCCTACACACATAATCTAGTGGGCCGACATTGGTGCCTTCGACCCACGAGTATAGTGAAGAGACTTACCTCAGTCTCAAGATAGAGAAACCATACATCCGGGCTGCTGCTACTATGGCTCCTTACACTGAACATTCCAAATTAACCTTAATCAATACTCAGGGTAATAACCCATGAATGGTCCGGATTATCCTCTTACATGCCAAGGGGTAAAAGACCATTTTACCCATTCCTCTAATGGGCCCTCAATCCATGGCCCAAATCCAAAATTCCTAAGGCCCAACAATGGCCCAAAGCCTAAGGTCCAAAATGGCCTAAAACCCAACGCCCAAAACCTCCGAAATGGTCCCTAGTGAGTACGCCCAGCGTACCACCTATGTACGCCCGACGTACTGCTTACTCAGCGACGGGGGATCGTGGCTTAAACCGAGTACACACAACGTACTCAAAAGTACGCCCAGCATATTGGTCAGTTCCATATTCTCATTCTCATGGCTTAATCCCTTAAGACCTTAACGTCCGAACCACATATCTACTTCTAAGTAAGGTCTTAATCCATAAACTTGGAAGCTTTAAGCCCTTGCATAACTTCAAGAGGTTCAATCCTTAGATTTTACATTCTACTTTCATCAAATAACCATTAACTCATGTATGGTTGATCTACAACCATCAATATGCAAACTTTATAAACTGGTAACCTCAAAAACATCAAAAGGAACAACTCAAAGCTTCTGGAGTAGCATTTACTCACAAGAACTCATTCATGGGACCATAAGATGCTCAAATCTCAACTAATCCTAGATGTAAGCATATAATAATTAAGGTCAAGACTATATACCTCCAAGAAGCTGAGAAAGATGAATAAACTATAACATCCCAAAATTTAAGACCAAAAATTTCATTTTTGAATAAGTTGTTATAAAAACCAATAGTATAAAAACATTCATAATATCATCCCATGTCAAAACCAGTATGTCAATAATCAAAGCATGTCATCATAAAACAATATCATAGTATAATCCCAAAGCTCTCATGTGAAGAAAACATAGTGTGATGCGCTGCGATCAAGCCGGCTCCTTTCCTTTGAAAACGAAGTACCTGAAACCAAAACTGTAAACCGTAAGCACGAAGCTTAATGAGTTCCCCCTTCATACAACATACCATACAATAAACATATCGCCATGCATATCTGGGTGCCCGACCTACCCTGTTGAGCATACCGGGGTGCTCAACCTACCCCTGCTAGGCATACCAGGGTGCCTAACCTACCTCTGTTAGACATAGTGGGGTGTCCGACCTAACCCTCCGATTTATCTCAACCGGTTACGGGGACTATTTCACCCATACCACTACCACATAACAACATAACATAAACATACTGTCAGGCATACCGGGGTGCCCGACCTACCCCTTTGGTCCTTTCGACCGGATACCGGGACTATTCTCCCTACTACCACTATCACATGACATCATACCATACTAGCACATAAAGCATAACAAATAGTGGCATACCAGACAATTATCACAAAGACAATCATCTAACAAACAACTCCTACTAGTGGGACGACATTATCACCTTAGACCCACTTCTACTGGAAGGTAACTCACCTCATGTTGCTGAACTTCACTGCAAGAAATCCTTAGCTGTTGTCTTGGATACTCTTCGAGATATCAATACCAAAATATCACCCAATTAGCAATTGGGTTCTATATCATGATTCATAATCCATACTTGGGTAAAATAACCATTTTACCCCTGGCCCACAATATACTTAGCTAAGGCCCAAGTCCAAAACTCCAAAATCCATAAGAGCCCACTAATGGCCCAATTTTCCAAATTGGGTTCCAACCCTTACATGGGACTACCCTCTAGCATCTATTCGTACTTTATAACCCTCTAAGGGTCAACCTTGGTCAAAGTCAACGTCAAAGTCAACATTCTGGCTGACTCAACTCGCCGAGTTGGTCCATCAACTCGTCGAGTTCTTGATTCATGAAACTCTGGAAATCTCGATCATACTCGTCGAGTTCTTTCATGAACTCGTCGAGTTCCCCTTCAATCAGAGTCGGGACATTTGACTCACAACTCGCTGACTCCCTCCTTGAACTCGTCGAGTTCCTCGATCTTCATAACTCAAAACCATGGCCAACTCGCTGAGTCATCTCCTAGACTCAACAAGTTTACTCAGTAACAGAAAAGGTTGGGGGACCACAACCTAACTCGCCGAGTTGTATGAACAACTCGTCGAGTCCCCCATAGCCTATATCCATTAAGTCACTTTCTGTTGGGCTCAATGCATCCAATCCATAGATCTGGTCCCCTAGAGTAGATATATCATGTAAAGTTACAAACTTTACGTCCTTGCGTGAGTTATTTAGTTCAAAAGGCCCAAAAGGTGGTTCACATGTTGCATGGGACTCTCATGGCCATAAAGTTGGCACCTTTATGCCATGGAGTCCCTCAAAGGCTCTAGATACGAAGTCATGACTCCAATACATGTTTGCATCCATGAATGGTTCCAAAACAAGCTACTAAAAGCTCTAAACTCCTCCATGAAGATATCTAGCAAGAGAATAGTCAAGGTATAGACTTTATACCTTAATATGGCTACCTTAACAGAGAAACCCCTGGATCCAAAGCTTCTTCCTTCAACCAAGCACCTCCAACTTCAACTCCTTCAAGAATTTACCAAAGAATCACTCTCTTTTCACTCCTACACACTCAAGAGGGCTCAAGCTCACGAATTAGGGTTTGTTGGACTGAGGG